GTGTTGTTGGATAGGTTTGCAAGATAATAAAGAGTACGTAAATAAAAAGTAGGGGCTGTTTAGATAAAGACACAACTAAGTTAGTTTTAGTAAAGAGCTTTTTGTTACGAGAAAGTTATTTGTCCCTAGGCAATCGATAACTAGACCGGTAATCATTATTGCAATTTTATATGAGGGAGAAGCATAAGCTAACATACTTTCTCTACTTGGATCATATACACTTATGATTGGAACTCTAGCAAGCATCCGCAACTACTAAACATCATTAAGGTAAAACCCAACCATATCATTAAAGTATCAAGTCCTCTTTATCCCATACGCAACAACCCCCTTACTCGGATTTGTGTTTCAGTCACTCACGCAACCCACTATAAGCGAATCATGAACGTATTGCAACATCCTACAGCGGGGATCCCTCACGCTTGCGCGACATGGAGAGCACCATAGGACAGCACCAATAATAAAACATGCAACTCAAACCAATCTTGATCATCTAATAGCCCATAGGACGGATCTACTCAAACATCATAGGATAGCTATACATCATTGGGAAATAATATATAGCGTTGAGCACCATGTTTAAGTAGAGATTACAGTGGGTAAGAGAGAGGTTACACCGCTGCATAGAGGGGGGGAAGAGTTGGTGATGATGGCGGTGAAGTTGTTGGTGAAGATTGCGGTGATGATGATGGCCACGGCGGCGTTCCGGCGCCACCGAAAGAGAAGGGAAGAGGGGCCTCCTTCGTCTTCTTCTTCCTTGACCTCCTCCCTAGATGGGAGAAGGATTTCCCCTCTGGTCCTTGGCCTCCATGGCATGGGAGGGGCGAGAGCCCCTCCGAGATTGGATCTGTCTCTCTGTCTCTCTCTGTTTCTGCGTTCTCAGATTCTACCCTTTCACCGTTTCTTATATTCCCGGAGATCTGTAACTCCGATTGGGCTGAATTTTGGACACGATCTCTATCCGGATATTATCTTTCTTGCGGCGAAAGAAGGGCATCAAACGCCTTACAGGGTGGCCACGAGGGTCAGGGGCGCGCCCCCTGCCTCGTGGGCCCCTCAAGCATCGTCTCGCGTGGATTTTTCTTCCCAAAAATCATATATATTCAAAAAAAAATCTTCATCGGTTTTTATTCCGTTTGGACTCCGTTTGATATGGATACTCTGCGGAAAAAAAACATGCAACAAACAGGAACTGGCACTGGGCACTGGATCAATATGTTAGTCCCAAAAATAGTATAAAAAGTTGCCAAAGTATATGAAAGTTGTAGAATGGCATGAAACAATCAAAAATTATAGATACGACGGAGAGGTATCAGTAGGTTCATTACCGTCCGGCTGCCGGCTGAAACTAACGGAGTCATCCAACTCTCAGATCAGAGATGCTAACGGGACATGAATCAAAGTGGGGGACTTCTCTACCGCACCTATCTCCCCAGACATAGACTATGTACAGGGTAGTACTCTTGGAAAGAGAGAAGATCACCGCGTGAACAAAATCCAGAGTAACAAACGTCACTCTCGAGGGATCGGCCACTATCATACATGAAGTTTTGCATATAATGATTGTTCATGTTCATGTCGGAGTGCTGACGTTCTTTCCTCCATTAAGTCAAAGTCTGGGTATGTTTTTCTCGCGTCCAAATCTCGAACCATTTTCACCGTTGGATTCCTCGTGTCGAAATCTTTAAAACTAGATTCCATGTTGATTGGTTTTGATGAACTTTTTCTAAAACAAATGACAAAAAATGAACTGGGAGCACGTTATTTTCACTTTTTGAAGAGGCACACATTTTTCCCTTTCTGAGAGGTCGTGTCTCTCGCGGAAGCAAATCTGTGTCTCCGCGAGAAGTAAATCCATGTCTCTCGCGGAAAGAAAAGAACACATTTTTTTTCACTTTTCAAGAGGCACGACTGTGCCTTTCGCGGAAGCAAATCCGTGCCTCCACAAGAAGTAAATCTGTGCCTTTTGTGGAATGAAAAAACGCGTGTTTTTCCCTTTTCGAGGAGCACGACCCCACCTCTTGCGGAAGCAAATTCGTGTCTCCGCAAGAAGTAAATTCATGTCTCTCGCAGAACGAAAAAAATGCGTTTTTCCCTTTCCAAGAGGCACAACTGTGCCTCTCGTGAAAGCAAATTAATGTCTCTGGCGAAAAAAACGCATTTTTTCACACAGGATTTTTGTTCAATTTTTTTTCATGGTCCAAATCCTAATAAAAACCAAGAGGAAACCAAAAGGCCAAAAAAACAGAAAAAACATCTAAAAGCCAAAAATGCGTACAGAACAAAATCTGGATAGAGCACCCACAGGGCGACATGTGACGGTGGTTGAGAGCGCGCCAAGTGGCGCGCTTCTAACTCACTCCAAGTGATCGTTGGGAGGCTCCTAAAGGAGTACTCGTCAGTTAGTTATCACTATTTTTTTTTGAGAAACAGCACACTTTATTTAACTCATAATGATCGTAGGAATACAAAGACCAGCAGGTGGCTCGAGCAACCAAAGAATCAACGACGTACGAGCAGTCTGATGAAAGTTTCCTATCAGACTTCGGATAGGAAGCGTTTCCCTTTAGCTATGCGATGAGCCTCCTTATTTGAAATCACTAATTAATTAACGAGTACTCTTTCAGTCGATGGTAGAACGCACAAACCTCTATGGGCTGCGTGAGTTCGGCCTGTAGATAGATCTTCAAAATTTTGGGCCAGGCTAGTTCTGTTTTTTAGTTATATTATAGGATGCTGCAAGTTCCGCCTGGAACTTCAATGAAATGGACCAAGGCGACCACATTACAACACTGGAGAGAAGACCGCCACCACCACCACCATTTTCCACCACCACCATTTTTAGTAATTTAAACTAAAACCACGAGTAATAAATCGTTCCAGTAGTATATTATAGGATGCTGCATTTTTCCCACTTGAAGAAGTCACCGCACGTGTGGCAAGAAGGGGCCAGAGCTCCCGGACGAGCTACCGCCGTCTTCGCTCTCCGCCCCGAGGGACATGGTGGTGGAGGTCAAGCTCGCGCCGCCCATCGGAAGCAACGGAGACGAAACAGTGCAGCGCCTTGTCCACTCCCACAGGTGGGCCTCGAGTTGACGGGTGGGTCCAACCTAACGAACAGTGCCAGTCTGACGTGGCATACGGCGGAATACATAGTACGTATGCAATGTGTAGAGCCAAGATTGACAACCTCAGGAACTGCATTGATCACATATTTTCATGTACCGGGGCTGTATTAGAGCACTTTGTAACTTCAAGGACCAAGTTGGACGTCGCCAGTGAGCAGAAGGACTATATATGCAACTATCTCTATGTATCTAGATGAACTTTGTTCCCCTCTCTGTTTCCGCTACAACTGGTGTATTTTCGTTTGTATACAAGAAAAAAGAGATCATTCTCAAAAAATAAAAATAAAAAAAAAGAGCAGGGGAGACCACATTACTAAGAATTTCACATGTATCCAAGGCGCAACAGAACATCCATCCTCCTTGTCCATCGATCCACAAAGGCACAAACAGACCGGTGCATAACGCAAGTGAAGGTAATGAAGATGCGCCCACGCGCACAGGGTATAACTGACATGGACGAACAGATTACAACAGTATCATTACATGCTAGCAAACGTTGAAAGGTGGGGATCATCTATTATGGGCAACAACAGCGGTTGGCGCGGCAGTGGGTGCTCCCTGTAGCGCCCGGAATCGGGGCGGCGCCCCTCTTCATCAACGGCGGCGGACTCCGGAGTCGTGTGAGCGACTCGGAGTCTGGATCTCGAGATGGTGACGACCTTCTGTGGCTAGTGGCGGTGTGGGACGCCCCTTCCATCAACAGACCGGGTTCGATATGGCTCGGCAGGTGACACATGAGCCTCTCTCGGAGTTGTCGGACGGTGCCTGTCGTCAGCAGGTGAAGCCACCGGTGGATGTGCTACCGGCGGATGCTACGCACGATGTCTTATACGGAGACGTCAAGTCATGCCTACTACCGGCAGGTGATGCACTGCGGCTCTGGCGGAGGTGTCAAGTTTAGCCTGCTGTTGTTGGATCGAAAGTGGTGCGACAGTAGCGGGAGGCAGGCGGTATGGGACGTCTTTGTCTTCCGTTGTCTCCTCCAGAGGTATCCATCTATCGATGCGTCGGTAGACGGATAAAGGTGGATGGTATAGACAGTTTCAACGACGAGCTTATGCACTCCGATGGAAACACAAGCTCTGATCGTGCTATGTTGTCGTGCGCCTGCGTCGTGTCGTGTCCTTGGTGAAGATGGTGGATTGAAGCTTTGTTTTGGGAATGAGAATTCAAAGTTCAACCTTGTGGTGGACTTGCCATCATCGGCGCACGTGCGGCAATTTCTTCTTGAAGGGGTAGCCTAGGAGTTGTGTATTTTTCGTTTTATGTTGTGTCTTGTATCATAGGGTTAGTGGTTATCTGAAGGAGTTACTGTCACGAGCTATATGGTCTTAGGGTTTATTTTTCACTTTTTTTCCATCGATGGTATATGGCTATATGCATCGTCCGGGAGTTATCCTCCTTTTCAAAAAAAGAATAGGAATGACAAAGCCTACAAGTGCAGCCAGCAAGACGACGGGCAGGAGGCCCAGCCACAGCATCGTCCGCCCGCAGCTGCAGGGGGGCGTTTCGGGCGTATGAATTCCCCGGACGGTACTGAAGAAAGGCAGTCGTTGACTGCCACTTTCCTCTGATTTCTGAGTGGGGAACAAATATGTGCCAAAATGCAACAGAAGACGATTTCCGTTCGTAACAAGGCAGAGACCAGATCAATGATAATCGCACATCGATCTGAAAGCAGGACGGAACCTGAAATTCTGTTATCATCCCCTAACAGAACCTGAAACTCTCTGTTTCGATTTGAAAAAAAGCCTCATTGCCACAAACATGTACTAAAACGGGTAACAGGTGGAAGCAAATGGTACATCAAGCTCACTCACTGACACACGCACGTACAGGCGTGGACACACACAACTGGCGCAGGATGATGAACTATTTCATGCTCAGAAGGACAAAGCCTACAAGTGCCGCCACCAAGACGACGGGCAGGAGGCCCAACCAGAGCATCGTCTTCCCGGTGGCACGTCGTCCGACCACATCGCCTGACACCCAGAAGCCGGCCGACGCCTCGAGGAGCCCGAAGATCACCACGGCGACGAGGATGCCGTAGTACAAGAAGAAGGGCGCTTTGCCGTGGTGGAGAAATATACCTCCGGGCGCCTTGGATATGACGAGGCAGAGCGCCGCGGCTGCTTCGACGACGCCGCAGGAGATGAGAGCAGCCGGCAGCTTCTCCGCGTTGCTACATGCGGCGGAAATCAAGGCGAGCAGGTTCCAGAAGGCGGCCAGGAACCCCATTGTTCGTCTCTTGGGTGGTGGTGTTTGCTGGGGAAATGGGTTTGTGTTTGAGGCTCGGCGATGGCGAAGAATTTATAAGCACAGCCTTTAGACGCGCAAAGTGGCACTGTTATGTCACAGGCAGAGTTGGACGTGACTTTCCGCAGCCCCAAGAACCCAGAGCCGAACCGAACTGAACCAGAGCCGAACCGAACCACACATTTTGGTTTTCCAACCCTTGGGTGAGCTCATGCCATGCTGTAAGGCTTGAATGGATCATGCTTTACTGCTTAAACAAAGTTTCAGAGCATATGGCCTCGTTAACTGCTCAGCTCTAGTAAACAATCTCCGTGACGAAAAGTGGCTGTATTCAACTTAATACTTTGCTGTGTACTAATTTACCATGTGTTTTGGTTGTTTACTCGGTGACACTTTATTACTACCAGCTCATTATTAGTGTAGTACTAGATGAATGACCTTGTTCCCTCTTAGGGCTCATTCGGTTTGGAGGAAATCTAAACGTAGGAATTTGAAGTAGTATAGGAGTTTGATAGGATGTCACTTGCCACCCTAAGGAATTGACTTGCCTTGTTCCTACGCGCAAAATGAGCTTTGAGTGGATGTGTAGTTTCCTCCAAAAGCATAGAAAATGAATAGTATTCCTACGAAATTCCTTTACGGATTTTCTACAAACCGAATGTATATATAGGAAATTTTCCTCTGGAATCCTTGTTCCCATGTTTTTCCTATAAAAATCCTCCAAACCGAATGAGGCCTTAGATTTTCCTTTCGTAATTGCTACTTGTTGGTCGTTTTGCACAAATATCACCGAGACTACCGGACGGAGGGAGTAATTATTAGAAGCGAGGTACTAAACTGTACATTATTTCTGCGGGGGAAGATTTCAGTCTTTTTGTGATGCTACTAGTCTCTTGATAGATTCATCATTCCACGACCCAAACTGATGTGGTTCTTTTACTCAAGAGTCAAGAGGGACTGAGACAACAACCTGGCCGTGTGGGATGCCCGAACCATAACTGAGCCGACTCAAACCAGAACCGATCAAGGGCTTTTTTGGTTTAAGACCCGTGGCCAAGGATGATTGGCAGAAAAGGGTGCCGCATGAGTATGATAGTCAACAATCAACAAGATCGTCACACAAAAAAAAGATCGTCACACAGCATGTGGGGTCGTAATAATAAGCTATGCGGGCATGGGAAAGGTGAGTGAGTGGATGCTGTGGGTCCGCGAGACGACCGTCGCCTTCGTTCTCCGTCACCGAGTCATGCGAAGCCAAGGAACCAGAACCGAACGCTTGGTTTCCGGTTTCGCGACGTGGTTGTGCTTGTGCACAAGATACGGCTGACATGTATTCCTCCGTTCCAAAATAGATGATCCAATTTTATACTAAATTTTGTACAAAATTAATATAAAATTAAGTCATCTATTTTGAAACGGAGGAAGTAATAGTTACTACTTTCGTTTTTTTAGACAGGTACACGTACTAGTAGTGGCGCTTTGCTGACGACACACTTTTTTTTTTGCGCGCGAATAGGACTTGTATAACTCAATCATCAGGATTACAATCAGCGAGACATAAGTTCTCAACATTCTCATAGCCAGAGCATAGCCAAACAACTTTACGACCTCTCTTTTAGTTTATAGGGCCTGCGCGTATCCCTAGGTCATCAGTTTGACCAATCTAATACAAGTCATATATTACAAAACATATATCAATATAAACTTCAAATGTTCTATTTTCATACGGTTTTTGTGTTATATAGTTTATATTAGGGAGATACAATTAGCAACCTAGGTATACGCATAGGACTTGTAAACTGAAACGGAGGTAGTACGATTGGTATGCCTAGCATAACTAGCTAAGAAATGATTAATATAGTTCAGGTCACGCTTTATATGAGAATTGAGAGCAAGTGATCCAACCGTTTATGCAAACACACCTTTGTTTAGGGAACCTTTTGCAGACACACTGGAAATATAGCGTCGTTGGCATGAATGGAACGTTTTGGAGCTCGGCCTTTATGGAGGCCGGATTTTTTGAAAACTTCAAGATTTGAACATTTTAGTTTTGAAAAAATCTAAAACAAATTTGCACAAGTAAACAAAGATGTGAATGTATGTGTTTAAAATTTTAGGTTGAAATACCTTGAAATGTGATCTGTGCAAAAAAAACACAAATTCATTGACTTTGAGGATGAATAGTGCATCTACTAAAGTGGCTTAGATTTTTTTTGTAGCACTCATTTTAACGTTTTTTTTGTCCTGAAAATTTACACACTTGAGCATTATGTCTCTAAGTATATGTATATTTTTTTGAAACACATAAATTTGAATTTTGATCATTTCAAATTTGGCCTCCCTGGAGGCCGAGCTCCGTTGAGCATTTTGCGAATATTAGTTGTAACTACAGTTGGATAACGGTCTACATATCACAGATGTAATGCCTATATAAAATTATAATGTGAATGATCATAGTAATAAATATAAATATTGTAATTTAATCCCTGCCCAACAGTAATTTGTTCACCACACTTGTATGCTTACGAGAGAGTGAAGTTATGGCCCTCTGGGTCTATTCTCTATGACTGAAAACCTCATCAAAAATAATATTCTTGGTTGTACTGTTTCTTTTAGTTTATCTATCTATTAAGAAGCTTGACAACATTCTTGACGTGTTGGGGACAAGTTTGTGTTGTGTTTTGTGCGCAGGTACTGTGACTTTGTTTGCTGAAAGAACTCATTTTGATTCGATAAACCTTAGTTCTTTACTAAGAAAAATACTTATTGCTAGATTACTTCACCTCGATAGAGGTCCTAAGGTCCTAAGAAA